GAGCTGCGGCCCCCCGGAAACGGGCTGGGGCCGGCCCCGTGGCCCACACCGGATGCTCGCTCTGGGGCTGATCGGTAAGATCCCCCCCCGGGCAGAGAATCGGGCTATTATTAGCCTGCTAGAAGCAGCCAGAGGGTATTGTGGCTTCTGGGAGACGACCAGGGGAGACCAAAACGACCCCTCCTCTGGCTTGCTCGAAAGATCAGGAGGGTTGGGGAGCCAACCGAAATTGAAGACCCTAGTAATGGGGGAGGCCTTATGTGCCAATTACTATTTTGCGAATAGAGACAATGTTTGAAATTTACTTAGGGAAATTTGGCGTGGGGAAGAGTTCCTCTACAAATGTATTAATTGTGGTGGCGGCCCCTTTTTTGGTGTCCCTTACAGGTTGCTGCAGCAGAATAACCTATAGCTGTCGTCGTCTTTTTTTTTTCTTTTTTCTTTTGCCCCTTTTTCTGTGTTGTATCTTAGATTGGGCTCCTTAGGACAAAGTTCTACTCCCCCCTTTTTTTGAGGAGATATTCTGTAAAATTGCACTCATAGGCTAGGCATGGCAGCGGTTTGTATAAAATAAGGTGCGAGACATGGTCTGTGGTTCTGATTTTGTTTTGCCACAAACTGTGGTCCCCATTCCCAACCTTGTCCCCCCCCCCATTGTTAGGCCAACTCCCAGAATTCCTGGGTAGCAACAGTTGACTTGGAGGGTTTTGATTTAAATCCCCATCTAGCCAGAAAACCTCATGACTTTGAGCCTTTTAGTTTTCTCTCTCACCTAGGTAAAAAAGGGGGCAGCACAATATAACTCCTTAAAGAAGGTGATGGGGTGGGGTAAAACTATATATATGAATTTGAGTGTGTGTGTTTGTGTGTGTGTAAAATTTATAACCTGCCTCATTGCTGGCTGACTCTGGATGGAGTACAATAAACAAAAACCCAATGTAAACAATTAAAAATTATCCACAGAAATCATAAACATCATAGGTGTTAATAAAGCTAATGTAGTCTAAGGGTAGAATGTGCTCTAGAATATATGTGAAATAAAGCTGAGTATATATATATATAAAATTGAAGTAACCTAATGAACAACTTCTGCTGTTGATGATGTTGTATGTATAATTATAATTGTAGAATAATTGTTACTGTTCCAGTTTGCATGTTTAATAGACAGGAAGGAATGGTTGCCTGGACAGTTGCTCCATTTTTCTGTGCTATGCTGCAAGAAAATACTTAGAAATTTATGTTTACGGGTTTTAACCTTTCATAGCCCAGAACATTTTCTTTGTATTCTTAATAGCCCTCAGTGTTGTTCTTCCTTTTTACTTTGAGGTGCTGGTCACGTGAGGATGATAGACTGATTATCTGTTTAAATGTGGGGGTAAGATTTGCACTTGGAACGCAATGCTTTGTACTTTAATTGCCATGCTCCAACAATGTTGTAAGGAGATTTTCACTACAAATCTGATGTACTTGCTATGTCTTGCAAGAAGTTGAAGTGCTACTCGTACTTTATTGAGTTTTAGCAAATAGCAAGTCCCAAGGATAAGATTTAATCAGATTTTTCTAGCTCTGTATTTTTCTTAAACTGGTTTCAAAATTGCTGGTACTCAGACCTGATCAGGACTTGGTTATTTGTAGTTCTTGAAATACATTTTCCAGGGTTATCTGCAGGAAATATACTAATAAGATACATGTGAATTGCATCGCTGACTACAAGGGCTGTTGAAGTTTGGGTTGTACATATGGGATAAGGTCTTTGGGAGATTTCAATCTACATAAGATTGATTTTCTGTATTTAGAAAGCGTTTGTAATGTTTAAGCATCCATGTTAATCTTTAAAATGTGGAGGCTTTTATAGAAAGTATGAATAAAGGATAATGTTATACATATCAATCATGCATATGTTAAAAGGCCTTCCCTCTGAGAACATTACAGAAAAATAGAACTCCAGACAAAGTAGAAAATGGAACATGCCATTCTGATTTCCCGCAATTGTATAGAGTGATAAGTAACTAGAGCAGACAGATGTGATGTGAGGCTTGATCATAATTATTTATTCATTGGGCACAAGGGATTTGGGCTACTCTAGGGTCTAAGATAAGCACCACGTGAGGGTTATATTCCAAGTTCGGAGTAGTCAGAAGAACTTGTGTTTATCTGTATGTTTTCAATTGTTTTCAACAAAATCTGCCTATTTGTTTTTCTGCCTTTTCGCAGCAAATGAAGAAGATGAGAAGGCAAAGCAGGCTGGGCCAGACGGTGAACGCCACGGGCTCAAGAGACAGCGGGATGAGAAGGAAGAGCATGGCCGGGCTTATTTTGAGTTTCGAGAGGAAGCTTACAATAGCCGGTGAGATACGGATCCTTTTGGCTAGGAATTTAATCTGCTTTGCCAGAGGAGTGAAACAGAATCGGAACAGAGAATTTGGAGGATTGGTTTTAGTGGCTTAGAAACAGCTAGATAGCACTGCAAAGTCCTTTTTTTGTGTTTATGAAAACGTTTGCAGCTCATTGATAAGAATTGATGTACCGGTGAGCAAATGGCTGGCTCTTGCCTTTACTGTTTCTGTGGAATGCGGAATCTGTGTGATAGTGGTCAGGAAGTTGGAATAGAACCAGACAGACCTGGGTTCAAGTCGACCTTAGTCACAGGAGCTCCCTGGGTGGCTTTGGGCCAGTCACTCTCTCTCAGCTCAACCTACCTCACAAGGTTGTGGGGGGGGAATGGGAAGAGGGAGCCCTAGGTACACTAGCTTGAATAATTAACTAATTTGTGTTCAGAGTATGGAACTTTGTGTGTAAGAGAGAGGTCAAGCTGCAGCCACTGAATTCTTTGTAAAAACTGCAATAACTAGAAAGGGCTAGAAAAATAAAAATTAGCCAGTTAAATGCAGCAGAACTTTGGTTATAGCTGGTGCCTAGGGAAGAAATGTTGATTCCCACAAGCTTCCCATCTTAGCCTTGCAAGGCTGATTTATTTACAACTGGAGAAATGGTTTATCGTGGCTAGGTTCACACAGTGTATTAAGCCAGGGTTGTCAGGTTCATGCAGTGAACTAAGCCATAAGCAATAGTTTACTGAACACAGCAGATGAGCACATGCATCTTGTTAAGGCATAATGCCTGCTTCTTTATGGCTTAATGGACAATCTAGCTATCGGGGCGTAGCATTTGAGAAACCGAGGCAGTTGAAGTTGATCAGTAAGCCATCGCTTTCGGTAAATGTGCGAACCATTCTGTTTCTCACAGTCCTTCCTTTTGCATTCTCCCTTCCTTGTTTCCCATAACACCTGCTTGGGCAACATTGCATTATGGTACAGTATGTCAAAAAGGAATGTCAGAAGGGCAGTATATATCCCTGCTAATTTAGGAAAAAACCATACTGTTAGTTAGCAGGACCACAGCCTGACACAATGTTAGCCTACTTCAGATGTTTTGTATTTTACTATCGGAAGTTTTTAACGTCTAGGTAGCTGTGTACAGCGTTCTTTGAGCAATGAGAATGTTTGAACGAAAGCTGTTTTGGGAGTGGAAAAAAATAATATTGAAATGTAGCAAATGTCCATAGCCTGCCTGCCCCTCTCTCTCTCCCTTTTTTTTTTTTTTTTTTGGTAAAGGGTTTTTTAAACGTTTTATTAAAGCACTTTGGAAAAAAAGGGGGGTTGGGGGAAAAAAAAAAAAGGTATTTTTTTTTTTTTTTGGTAAAGGGTTTTTTAAACGTTTTATTAAAGCACTTTGGAAAAAAAGGGGGGTTGGGGGAAAAAAAAAAAAGGTATTTTTTTTTTTTTTTTTTGGTCAAGCAGTTTCTGAACGCTTTTACTAGAGCACTATGAGACAAAGCGGATGTTGGAGCAATGAGAAAAAGGCTATTTTACTCATTTATTCAGATATTTACAAACTATAAGCTACCTTAAATCCTCTGCTGATGTGGGTGATCATAAACCAAAACCAATAAAACAGCTTTCTGATCTAACTGATGAACGCCCTTTTGGAAGAAAATGAATTATTTCAAAAAATCAGAGGTTGGGTGCATTCCTCATCTGGTGTGCAGTGAGCAGAGGCCACAATTGGGGAGAGCGGGGGCTGTTTTCTTTTACATACTTGTTTCTATCCGGGTACATTTTAAAGATGATTCTGTTGGTTATACTTTTCGATATAGATCTAAGTCTCCGCCACCCCCAGAAGAAGAGCCTAGGGCAGAGGATGATGAGACTCTCGTGATCCTGGACACATGTATGTATTGGTTCTGTGCATATCTCTCTAGGGGCAAATGCAAAGATAACTGCAGGATGAAATATGCGTGGCTCCAGATCATCAGGTGAATTTTGGTGCTGTTCTTTGTCAAGGCAGCATCACTTGCCTGGAGTTTTGAAGAAGACCGTTGAAATCTGCATGATTCTATGGTTTTATTTTAATAGTCCTCTTGAAGCAGAAAAATAATCTAAATTATAACCAGTCTTCTAGTGGCCCAGCACATAAGGCAAGGCTGCAGCCTTCTTCCTCATTAAAGAATAATTCTTTGAATTCAGTGGAATTTGTTCTTACTCGGTGAAATTTTTTTTTCTTTTTTAATGTTTAAATTATAATCTCCTGCTTCTGATCCAACAGGAAAAGCCATGTGGTAAAAAAAAAAAAAAAATTCCAGGTCTCAAGTCTATTTTGTTTGTCTTCAGGGGAACTTTCCAGTTACAGGGGTTAGCCAAGCTCTGGATTTAATGGTGTATCACTTCCGTTTCTCGCACAGATACATCTGATCTCCACTTCAAAGCCACCAAGGACCGCTATGGAGGGCAACCTCTGTTTTCTGAGAAGTTCCCCAATCTCTGGTCTGGGGCGAGAAGCACACATGGGGTGAAAGGGGGGAAAGTCTGCTTTGAGGCGAAGGTGAGGAGTCTAGAACTTTTGGTCACAAGCGGAATCTGGGCCAGTTTGTGGTGCTGTCTGTTTAATTCATGGAGCAAAGCTTTAAGAAGGTGTTTCTTCATTCGGCAAAGGGCAGCATTACACTTCTCCTTTTCCATTTGGGTATTTTAATATATCTTATACCAGATAGCGGTTCAATATTATGAAAACGAAATGTATTCGCTTCACAAGAAAGCCAGCATTGCATAGTGGTTAAGGTATTGGACTAGGAGCAGGGAGCTGTAGCTTCTAATCCTCCTTTAGGTGACTTTGGGCCAATCACTCTCTCAGCAATAAAGCCCAACCACGGGCAAAAATATTTCCTTTAAAAATCAAGAGAATAGAACAGGTTGAAAAAAATTAACCAAGCTAAAACATTGCCCAAGTTGTAACGTTCTTAAAAGGCTGAAAATTAAATTGATAGAACAGCCAATGGAATAATTGGAATAGCCTTTGGGAAAATGTATTTAAAAAGCAGTAAATAAATTATTATTGGTACTAATGTGGAGCCACCAGAGCTCCTCAGTTGGGGTCTATGATTGGTAGAGGATTTATAATTCTTTGAAAGATTAGATAACGGGCATAAAGCAGCAGCATTTAGTATTACAAATTAATTCTCTTGATTTGGAAGCCAAATTGCTTAAACTGCTATTCACACGACGCTTACTCTATCAGTACTGGTCTGCAGAAACAGGGAACTTGGTGGTGAAATTGGCTCGGATGAGGATAGGCATCTTCTGTAGGTCTCTTTCCCATCTTTCTAGCCGGTGTTTTGGTCTCCCTTATCCTGTCTTAGGTGGCGCAAAATCTGCAACTCAAGGAAGGCTGCACGGAGAACCAGCTGCTCCGCGTTGGGTGGTCCGTTGATCTCTCTCGCTCCCAGCTAGGTAACTCGTGCGTCGAGGCAGCGTTACAGGACAGCTCAGCTGATCCTGCCTGTAGGGATTGGGTGTCCGCAGCCCTGCCGTAGCAAGCGTTGCTGTCTTCTAGGTGAGGATGAATTTTCTTACGGCTATGATGGACGAGGGTTGAAGGCTGAAAATGGGCAGTTTGAAGAATTTGGCCAGCCCTTTGGGGAGAACGATGTGATCGGCTGTTTTGCCGTAAGTGCTGTGGGGGAAGACTGGATGGGGGTCTTTGGGGAAACCCTGGCGGGGGGGAACCAGGTTCTGTGCAAGCAAGGTGTAGCTTGCTGGGCCTAGGTAACTCCTCTGTATCTCGATACAGTCTCATTCAGGAGACCACCATGCACTCTCTAAGTGCTATCTTCAGCCTTTGGTCTGATCTTATTAGAACAGCTCCATCTGTCCAGTTTGCTGACTGGTCAGCAAAGAGCCATTGCTGTCGCTTGCTGCTTTCATTGCAAGGAGCCCTGAACACCCGCGTCCCTGCAGGGCCAATGCACGCCTCACGCTTTCCGCGTCCTGCCTTACAGAACTTCGAAAGCGAAGAGGTGGAGCTGTCCTTCTCCAAGAACGGGGAGGACCTGGGCGTGGCCTTCCAAATCAGCAAAGAGCTGCTGGGTGACAAGGCCCTCTTGCCCCACGTGCTGTGCAAGAACTGTGCCGTGGAGCTGAACTTCGGCCAGAAAGAAGAGCCCTTCTTCCCAGTTCCTGAGGACTATGTGTTCATTCATGCCGTCCCTGTTGAGGAGCGTGTGCGCACCCCACCACCCCCCAAAGCGCCTGCAAAATGTGAGGTAGTATAAGTCTCTTTGCTTCAGTCCTGTTTTTTTTCCTTCGTTTTAGCCCGAGGCAACCTGTTAGATACCTTCAATCTTAGGGGGTAAGCTGGCAGCTGGGTTTGCACTGTGGCTGCCATGATAAGGTTTCTTTTAAATTAAGCCCACTTGCCAGATAGCGTCAGGTTGTGTCTCTTAAAAATGGGAAAAACCTGTAGCCCTTCTTGACCTTCAGGGGGAGGTGTTGGGAGAAGTAGTTTCAAGAAGCCCATACAGGTGGTAGATTGCCCACTTCAGTCTGATTGAAATACTTCCTGAAATGATTTTTTCCCCTTTGGCTTGCTCCCTCCTGCTTCTTTGTAGGTGTGAGCGCTGCCCCGTGACCTCTGTTTTATCAGTTGCAGGGAATGAGGGGTTTCCAGAAAGGGAGAGGGGTGTGTGTTAAACCTCACGCTCCAGAAACTCTGTGTGGTGTTCTTTTTTAAAAACTAAGAATGGAGAATCTATCCTGGTCTGTTCAGAACTTTGGTTCCCACAGTGGCCAGTCTGTCGCCTCTGGGAAGACACCAGAAGAACACCAGGACAATAGATGTTTCTGCTCACTGGTTCTGAGACCTTGAGGAAATATACAGTCATTTTGATTAGTAGCCATTGATAGCTTTATCCCCCAAATTCCTGCAGTCCTCTTTTAAAGCCAATCATGTTGCTGGTTGCCATGATATCTCACAATAGGCAAATGCTATTATTTTTAATTGGCTTTCAGTGCAGGTTGATGGGAACATCTTTTTCTGCAGCGAAAAGCTCTCGATGAGGGCATCTCTCCCCTAAAGGACTGGTGAAAGGCTACAAATATTTCTGGCTATCCTATGTTAGTTTCCCTTTTATCTTTTTCCTTCTCAAGGTTGCATCACCCTTGCACATAGAGGTATTTCCAAGCATCCCTGTAATCTTAATAGCATTTTGACAGCTCCTGTCCTGCAGAGGCCTTGATTGGGTGGTATGGCTGACTCTTCTCTCCTTCCCCAACCTCCTTCCAGGTTTTGCTTATGGTTGGGTTGCCAGGCTGTGGGAAAACGTTTTGGGCACAGAAGCACACCCAGGAGAATCAGGACAAGCGCTTCAACATCTTGGGGACCGATAACATCCTGTACCAAATGAAGGTAAAAAGCTGGAGGCCCAGGACTTGCAGCTTGCATGGATCACTAAATCAGGGCAAACCAGTTAAACATTTTGACCACAGAGTGTTTGTTGCGTGTGAACCTGGACATCTTGTTCTGGGCTATGTCCAGGTCACAAAGGTATGGTGACAATGTCACCAGATGGAGAGGAGGCGACTTTGGGGAGTGGGGCATTTATGGGGGTGGGGGGAGACTGCTGTGTAAAATTTTAGCCAAAGGGATGAGAGATGCCACATGGGCCACCATTGCTCACCTTCCTGACTTGATTGAATACAGTACGGTCTGGTGATAGGTAGCTTCTAAAACCTTTGGATAGGATGACCTTCCCCCCTTGATGACCTCCCCCTCCCCTTTTTCCAAATGTCAGGTTTCCTCCCTCATTTAATCTTTTCAGTCTCCCCCAATTTCCTTCCTTGTCAGACGAAAGGTCCCGTGGTTGAAGAAGCACTGCCCACCGAAGCTCGAGATTCGCTGCTTCAGCAAGCGGCCCGTTGCGTGAGCAAGCTGGTCCAGATTGCACCCCGGACAAGGAGGAATTTTATTCTCGATCAGGTATTTTGACTTCAAAAGCCAGAGAGCTCTGTGAGGTGGTCCCAGGAAGAGAATGAGCATGGCAAAAATGGTGTCTGATCTGCACAGGAGATTGCAAAAAGTAAGGGCTTCCTGATCACTAGATAACCTGAGGAAGGCCTCATTTTAAAGGGCTACGCCCTACCTAGGTGATGTTGGGGCCCCCAAACTTGGAATATGTCAGCTATGTAAGAAGGGATGTTTAAGAAATTGTTAAAGGATTTGACTGAAACAAAGCAATAGAAATTATACTGGGAGTCCCCAGTTTAGGAGTGAGTTCTGTTCCCAAGGTCTGTCCTTAAATCGTATGTAAGCTGGAACAGTATTATTGTATAATACTGTCTAAGTAGTATAGTATAATGAACTCGAACCCTTGTGTATTTAACTTGAATCCTTCTGTATTTAACTCGAATTTTGCTACAATAGGCTCCGTCTTAACTATGAGTCGTCTGTAAACTGGGCCTTCTTAACGTGGGGACTCCCTGTACTTCAGAGAAGGACTTTGAGCTGATGCTCCTACAACAATTAAAGTTTCAGGGAGCAGGAATATTCTGGGGAGAAGAATTAAATCTTAAATTGCTCACTGACTTTTGACAATTGCTTAAGATCCTTTGCTTAATTTCAGTCTGGCGTATGTCAAAAATACGGTGTTTGCTGTGGCAAAACAGGGAGCCCGAAACTTTGGTTGCTTGCTTGTTGAGTGAATGGGAGCTGGGCTTCAGCATCTCTGGAAAGCATCAGGTTGCGATCCAGCCGACGTGGTTTCTTTCTCGGGCTGCTCTGGGTGTCCGCCTCGGCCTTTCTGAAGCCCCTCTTCCTTCCTCTTAGTGCAACGTCTACAATTCCGGCCAACGGAGAAAACTGCTCCCTTTCAAGGGCTTCGTTCGCAAGGTGGTAGTGCTGGTGCCCAAGGAAGAAGATTGGGTGGATAGACTGGAGCAGAGAGAGAAAGCTGAAGGGGAGAACGTGCCGGAGTCAGTGATGCTTGAAATGAAAGGTATGCTCCATCAAGAGGTCCGGGGGGGCAGTCAGTTGGGGGAATTGACGCTGGGGGCCGAGGGGCAGCCTGTTCTCTCTCCTGCGAAGCAAGATCGCCAAGAACTTTGATCTCGTTGGCCTTTCTTCTTCTGCACCCCTCCACCCCAGCCAACTTCTCTCTTCCGGACAAGTGCGACTACATCGACGAAGTCCTCTACCAAGAGCTGGCAAAAGAGGAGGCGCAGCCTCTCGTCACCAAATACAAGGAAGAGGCCCGGAAGCTGCTCCCACCCTCCGAGAAGCGGACGAACCGCCGGAACAACCGGAACAAACGCAACCGCCAGAATCGCAACCGCGGCCAGGGCTATGGTGAGGCTGGGGGGCAGGCCGCGGCCACGGTTGTCCGGGCGGCTCGTTGAGTCGCCAGGAGCTTGTTCAGATCCTGAAGGAGTTCTGGGGCCCTTTCAAAGCAGTGTACTGTGAACTCCCCTGGTTCTGTCTGTGCTTGCCTCTTGGCCCTTGTAAGTTGAACTTTCTTTCTTTGGCACTTCAGCTGGCTTGTGAGAGCAACAAAGGAGACTTTGGGGGGGGCTCATGTGAAGGGATCTTATTGTCAGTATCAACAGCTTTTGCTTAAGAATTCATTTAGTTCATCAGAATGGCCCCTTCACCTTCACCTTCGGTGTGTTTCATTTTTAACGAGACGGTTACTGTACTTGAGTTGTTAGACCCTCTTACCCACTGAACACCCCCAAAGCTTCCCCATCTTTGCCCATGCTGGTTTTCAGATGTCCCCTACACATTACAGCACTCGTTTTCTTTCTGCCGTCAGACTCTGACCCTTCAGTCGATCCCTTATTTGAAATATTTCCGCCTCGCCTTCTCTCAAAAGCCCATCCTGCCCAGCCTCTGAAGAAAAGGGGGAGTGTTTAAGTGAGAAGAGGGGGAACCCTCTTTATTTTTTACATAGGAAGTCTAGTTGTAACGTATTTTAATTCATATTTCGTCTGCTTTAATTCATTTGTTCTTTTTATTGTAAACTGCCCAGAGTCACTCTGCAGCAAGATGGGTGGCGACAAATTTGAAATGCAAATGAATAAATCAAAACCCCCAGGGGCCAGCCGCAACTTTGAATCTCTTCCCCAAATCCCTCATCTTTTTTTTTTCTCTGGGGCCACATTCACCTTGAACGAGGCTCGCTCCATCCGGCTCTCTGCCCCTCCTGCGGCCAGACACGCGGCTCCTTTCTGACTCCAGCGCCGGTTTTTGGTTTTCCCGCGGTGCCGGTGGAGAGATGCGTTTGCCGTCCTCCCGCTTGCCTTACACGCTGCGCTCCCACTGCTTCTCCCCCCCACCCGCCCCGCAGCTGAGATCATCTCTGTGGCTTCTCCTCACGCGGCCGAGCAGGCGGTTCTTGTAGGATCCTTTTGGGTTTTTTTGGGTTTTTTTCTGTAAAGGGCTAGAACTCTTGAACTCTCACTGAGAGCGTTTTTTTTTCTTTTTGGCAGCTCAGCCCAGCCATCCAAGTATGCAGCAACCCCCCGGGCTGCTGTGTGAGTAGCGCAATGCTTGGCGGGAAGTGGGGCGAAGCATGGGGAGTTGGGGAACGGGAGCACAGGGTGGCGATGTTTTGGACTAGAAGCGGGGAAGGAGCAGCAAGGGGGGATTGGAGTTTGTGGACAGGTGTGAACAGTTAGCCACAGGGTGAGCCCCTTGAGTTCCTGCCTTTCAAAAGGGGCCCTCTTTTTCCACGTCCCACCCCGTGGTGCAGAGTGCGAATCTTGGCTGGCCGGCAGCTGCGTTCAGAAGCTTTTGCTCGTTCTGTGCTTGCAAGTCGCCGCTGTTTCCTGGCCATCTTGGTCTAACGCGTTCCCCAAAACGGGCTGCTGCTTCCAGTCTTTCCGTCTAGTTCTGAAGATTCCTGCCTGCTTCTGTGCAAGAAATATCGGTTGCTCTCCCACAAACTGGGGGGACCCCACCTCAGCTAGGATCTTGGACTTCATCAGAAATCCTGAAGGATTTCACTGAGCTGCAGCTGCGGCCTAACCTTGCTTTCTCTCCTGTTTTTCTCAGTCGGAGGTCAGCGCCGGGGCTACAACAATCGAGCATACGGACAGCAGCAGTACTGGGGGCAACCTGGAAACAGAGGCGTGAGTATATACTTCTTGCTCCCACGTGTTGATAAGTGGGTTGTTCAAAAGTGACAGCCCTTGGGAGGTGTTCCCCCCCGTTTCCTGTGGTGATATTTCACGGTCTTGCTTTTTTTTAAAACCTCCTCGGAGGTTTTTAGCTTTAGTGAATTCAGAGGATTTGCATGCATCTTTGGGAGAGCCATCGGTTGCCCTTGCCAGCCCGATCGGCCATCAAGGATTGTGGGAGCGCTAATTCTTCTCCCCTATTTATGCTAAAGAATCCAAATGTCAAAGAGGTTTTGGAAATGGAAGCTTTTGTAGCTTGGATGGTCTGAGGAAGACGCCTAGAAAGTCAGGGAGGTAACGCTTGGCCTTAGTTTGAAAAGGCCATGCCCTAAGATGGTGGCTCCTGACCAACAGCACCCAGGCATTGCTGGTTCTAATGGGCAGCTTTCACACACAGGGCTATCGTAACTTCTACGACAGCTACAGAGGCAGGGATTACAGTCGCTTCTACGGACGTGATTACGAGTACAACAGATACCGAGACTACTACAGGGACTACAACCGAGAGGTAAGAGGCTGCAAACAATACTTCCAGAATAGAGTAGCCACTACCCTTCTGATAGTGTTCTGACTACAGGGAGCTCTTGACCTCCAGTCCTCTGCGTGCCAACGATATCCATGTTGCTCTTATTGCGGCAAGAGGGCCCGACAGGAAGACTTTTCTGAATATCATTGGTGGTAGATTTTTTGCCTCCAAAATGGCATGAAGCCACTTCTGGAGCTGTAATAAAACCATGGGATTTACAGATTGTCCCGGTTTAGCGAGGACTCGTTTAGCGACCGTTTGCAGTTACCATGGTGATGAAAAGGTAACTTTATGACCAATCCTTGCATTGATGAGCTGCTCATGTCCGTAAAATAAAGGAAAGCTGAAGATTGTGAGCACCGTCGCGGTTTCACTTAGTGGTTGCTTCGGTTACAGCCTGTTTTCCAGTTCCAATTGTGGTCACTAAATGAGGATGACCTGTAGAGCTGTGGCTTTCTAATCAGTGGAATGCCTTTGGAGCCTCAGGTCAAGATTTTGGAAGTACTGGAGCTAAGGGACATGGTGTGCTAATCCATTATTTCACCCGCGTTTTGATCAAGCAGTACATCATGTTTGGTAAACGCAAGGGGCAGGTCTCCCACGTCGTGCCCTGCCCCCGACCTGAAGAAATCACACTCTGATTAATGTGATATGAATGGAATATTGTTCCATTCCATATGCAGGTCATGGATAGTTTTATCCCAATTTAGGCAAGAAATGAAGGGTTTTTAGGCTTTTTTTTTTTAATAGGGAACTTATATAGTCCCTTTATATTCTTCAAGCTGATCGTATAGATACAGAAAAGGGAAATACTGAAACAAAGGTAAACAAAAGTAAAACAAAAAAATCCTAAAGAGGAACTCTTAGTAGCTTATTTTTCCCCTCCCTTGTCCCCAGCCACTTAAGTATTTATCCTTTTCCTGAAATACCGGAGATTATATTTATTTGGATGATTTCGCCTGAGATTTTTCCGTTGCTCTCTTCACTCCTGAAGTCCCCCACTGGCTCCCTACTAATACATCCGATGGTCTTTTTCAGTGGCAGAACTACTACCAAGACAGAGATCGATACTACAGGAATTACTACGGATACCAGGGGTACCGGTGAAACCCCCTGCCGTCTCCGCCCTTCAGCCAAGCAGCAAGGCTCAACGGAGGGGGGACGTCCACCACTTCTCCAGAAGCAAGCAATGGAAACGGGGCTGTCGGGGAAAGAGTGGTGGCAGGGTTCAAGAGGGTGGGAGGGGGAGGTTTAAAACAAAACAAAAAAAAATTGTAAATTTTTTTTTTAAAGTTTGTTGGAAAAATATTGTCTTATTCTATAAAAAAAACAAAAAAAACCACATTTCGAACCTAGTTTAGACATTTGTAATCAAAACGTTTGCGTGGAAAAAAAGAGAGCAGCACTTAAGGCTTTCTATGATCGGACAGGAAAATGAGACATCATAGAGTGGCTGAGCTGGCAGCTGAGGGGGGGAACAGGAGGGGCAGGGCTTGTGCGTTGAGGGCGAAGCTAACAGAAGTGGGGACGACCCAGGGAGGGGTGCAGGAAAACAGCTGGCTCTTGGGGTGTGGGGAGGTGGATTGTTGAGCCATTTTGTGTGTAAACCCAGGGGGGTTGTGTCTACACCAGTGATTCTCAGCCTTGGCAATTTGAAGACGTGGACTTCAACTCCCAGAATTCCCCAGCCAGCATGGCTGGATGGGGAATTCTGGGAGTTGTAGTCCACACGTCTTCAAGTCGCCGAAGTTGAGAAACACAGGTCTACGTGTTCTTTCCGAGGCCGAGGGAATCGTGGCATCAGTTTGGCAGCTGCAAGGACACCTTTAGCATTTGGTAGCCCCCGGGAGAAGGTGTAGGTCTTTCCTGCTCTTTCACCATTAGGCCCATATTTTCAGACAGTGAATTGCTGGGTGGCCTGTTGGACGTTGGGTGCCGCAGGTTGGAGGCTCCTTCCGACATTTCTCGCTGCCTCTCCTTCGAAACGTCAAGGCCGGCTTGTGATCCCTCTGACCGAAAGAGACCCAGGGTGGATTTCGGCCACTTGTCCCGGGCCGAAGCCAGTTTGCGCTCTCCTCCCGAGCCTCAGCTGGCCCTTTTATCATCTCTGTATAGAACCTATGTCCTCCTCCTCCTCTTCTACTTCTTTTTTTTTCCCTTTATAGTGGAGTGAAAGGAACATATCTCTCAGGGTTTCTGCAGGATCTTCTCATTGTTAGCACCTGACATGTATATAGGTAAAACTGTGCTAGCACGTCACTTTCAACTTCCGAGTAGCTTTATGCTGAGAATCGAAAGTTTTTTTTATACTGTCAAGTGCGGGGCGGGGGTGGGAGTGGGGAGCCAAATCATCCTGTGGTTGTTGTGGTTTTGATAAATTGATAGCCTCTGTATATAAAGTGGGGAAGGGGAGAAGATCTGCATCGAGGGGTTTGACAGGTGTGTATGTTTCTGGCTCTGGAAATGGTTTTTGGTTTTTTTTTTGAACCCAGCCTTCTGACTGCTTAGTTCTCTTTCCCCTAAAGATCAAATATACATCTTTCAGTCTTCTTCCTCCTCTTTTTCTTCTTCTTCTTCCTCCTCTTTAAATATTCTCATTTCCCTCCCCCCCACGTCTGGTGTGCCCAGCTTTAAAATTTCAGTATCATCTCGAGAGGGCGTCCAATTGGGCAGACAGACGGAAAGTGAAGTCAGAAAAGATTAGCGGCTGGCGCTGTATGGGAGAGGGACAGAACAGAGTTTGCAGGAGATCCGATTATTAATGGATTGAATTAAATTTGTCTTTCTCGGCTTCTCTCACTGAACAAAGGGGTTGGGAGCCTCGCTATCCCTGGATGCCCTCCCCCCTGCATTGTGTAAATACCCCCCTGTTTCCTGGCCCTGCTTGTCTCCAGCTTGGCTAATTATGTCTGATTCCCAACCACAGGAATTGAAGATTTGCCTCTGTTCCTTGTGATTCACTGTTTGAAATTCAAACTTTTTAAATTTGTGGGGTTTTTTTTTTCCTTTTTTAAATGTTGGCTGTTTTTTTTTTTTTTTTTTTT